AAGAAATAGTATATGGCTTATTTGTTAAAATAGTATTTCATATGTCAAATTAGCCTTTGATTTTCTGACCAAGATAAGAGATTTACTCCTGGGCACATTTTACCCCAAACCTTACAGGGGCACATTCTTGTGAAGGAGCTCTTCTATGCTGTACATTAGTGCTTCTCAAATGTTCTCCCCTTAGTTGCAAGAGTATGATGCCTGCTGCTTTTCCCCACCATCCCGACACACACACACACACACACACACACACACACACACACACACACACTCACACTCACTCCTTTCCCTCACCAGAAACTTGGTTTTAGATGATGAGGCTTTTCAGTCTTTATGAAAGCGCTCTATGCCGGGCAGAGCAACAACTATTGGGATGATGATGAAGCCTAGAGAAATGAGCAAAATGAAGCCATTTCAACTTTTTATAATTACTTACAGGGTCAGATATTTGAAGCTTACAATATGGCAGCATTGTGGAAATTACCTTGTATTTTCATCTGTGAGAATAACCGCTATGGAATGGGAACATCTGTTGAGAGAGCAGCAGCCAGCACTGATTACTACAAAAGAGGCGATTTTATTCCTGGGCTKAGGGTAAGGATATCTGTTTGTAGAGCCAGGGCCACATCCTCTCAGCTAGATACCCTCATGTATACTCTTGGTGATCTTAGACTTTCTTAGATATGAGCAGGTCATATAAGTAAAATGGGGGGCTAGAGTGCTTGCCCAGCATGTGTGAAGCCCTGGGTTCTATCCCCAGCACTCTTTAAAGAAAGAAATGGGTAAAATGGGTTTGGACAGTTCGATTTATGTTCTGTTGCTATTAACAGGTGGATGGAATGGATATCCTGTGTGTCCGWGAGGCAACAAGGTTTGCGGCTGCCTATTGTAGATCTGGGAAGGTAAGACTCCCCAATAACTTTGTCTTAGCTAAAAATTTCTAAAGTTAAGACTTCCCATGTGCCTCTGGTACCTCTCTAGGACTAGTTGCTAATTGAAGTATATGAAGTAGAAACAGAGTCCAGGCAGGTGAATGGAGTCCTATGAATAGCATGGTCTTGGTAGCTCACATCCTGGGAAACATTCCACTTTTCCCCCATTTGAGGTCAGTCTTCTAGTGTTTCCTCAGTATTTCACCTGTCTTCCATCATGATGATCTATTTTTGTTTTGGTTAATTGCTCACCCACCCACCCATTAATTATAAGCCCCTTGAGTGACCAGATCAGGGATTGCCACAATGCCCAGCATAGGATTTTGCTTATTAAGTTTCTTCTATGCAAATAGTGCATAATCTATCTTTCAGTGTATGGCTGTGAGAAAGAAAACAATGAAATTGGCCTAAAAAGAGGTTTAAGTACCTTAGTTGCTCTCCTTAAATCAGTGTTCCACAGCTGAGAAAGCACAGCCCTATGGTTACCTTTTAGTGGCGTGCCATGTGTATATTTGGGCAGTAGTGTAAATCATACGTGGATAGTAATGATGAAAAAGTCAGGATGAAGGGAAAGTAAACTAGGAGGGAGATGAAGTGATGAAGCTAGAGGAGGACTAAGGTGAGCAGGACTAAGGTGATAGATTGACTGCAGTGGGCTGAGCAGTCCACATGAAGACTGTAAGACTAGGAGCCAGATCCTCAGGTGTGTTTCCCCATCTCTTCCAATTCCTGAGAAGACCATGTGGAGTCCAACCCTGGGTGAAAACATGGTCAGTTCATAGAATATTTTGATTTAACCTGACCAAAGCCTGATCTTGGAACTATGGGAGGGCCTAGAAATCCCCTTTATCACCCCTGGCCCAATGCACTGTGATTCCAAATGACTACAAGATGACATTACTAAAAGACTAAATGAATAAATGCCAAAATGAGTCCACCCTCACCTATCAGTGTTCATAGTCTTGCCAAAGTAGGCTAGTGTAGCATGCGCAAGCTGCTTGGTGTGATGCACAGCTGGGCTAGCCAGACTCCTAGCAGAGTTGCAAGCTTTAGATATCAAAGGTCATTGGTGCCTGCCAGCTTTCTGTTAAACCAGCAAAGTCTAGGTGAAGCTGGATTGGTGGCTGGTCCCTGTAAGAAACACTGCATCATAAAATGAGCAAAGTTGTTTAGGTGCAAGTGGAAATCTACTTAATGTCCATGGGCTCTATGACATATTCAGTGATTAAAAACAAATTGTTCCAGCTTATACAGTCCACACTGTACCTGGCTTTAAGTTCCTATTAAAAATGAGAAGGATGAAATGTGCCATAAATAATAAGAAATCCTTGACAGCTGATTTATAGAAGATTGGATGAGAATATATTGTATGCTGCAAGGGTCTCTATTTGAGGCTGTGAATTGTGGCATTACTGGTCCTGGTCCCCTTATCTTACCTAACAATTTATGGGTTCCATTTTAGGGTCCCATCCTGATGGAGCTGCAGACTTACCGTTATCATGGACACAGTATGAGTGACCCTGGAGTCAGGTATAGTCATGGGAGATCTGGGTGTGGTTTTCAAAGAGGATGGGCTTGGATTAGTGCTGCTCACATTAAATTACTTTTGTTGACATCAAGTAGTTATTTGAGTCTTAGTCTGAAAGCAGTACTACTAATAAATTGGTTCCAATATAGAAAGCATTCAGAAAGTCCCTGGATGTTAGCAAGAGCAGTAAGTTTTTTTTTTTTTTTTTTTTTTTTTTTTAAAAAGCATATAACTAAATTGTAGAGGGAAATTGTTAGATAAAACAGGTCTGATGGGAGAGTAATGTATTTGGAGGCATTTAGCTTATGTAGGCATTATCCCAAATTCACTCATGGCATACTGTACCTGAAGAGAATCAGGATTTGGAAATATTCTGGCTGGGAGGGAGGTGTTCAATAGGTTGAAATATCAAAAGAGCTAGGTTACATTAGGAAGGTGTGAGTTTTCCTTTTTCACTTAGTAGATATCTCATATAATTTCTCTCATAATTCTGCAGTCACAGACTCAACACAATTAAAAGTCAATTTAGTCAAAGTCTATTGTACAAATTAAGTGTGAAAATATACTTTGATTTTTTTTTTTAAAAAAAGGTAGAACACTAGCTTTTAGTGTTATTTCAGATATATCTTTTTCCTATATCATAGAATCAACAAACAGAAAACCTGGTGTCTTTAAGTAATTGCTGGCCATGCTTTGTTTGGGGTTGTAAGGGAGAAAGGCAAAGTGATTGGCATTGATACCCCAACCCATGTAAAATATAATAGCCTAAAGGAGTGGGACAGGTGACACTTCTTTTGTACTCTTTTAGATCAAAGAAGCAAACCAGAACTTGGCCCCCATTGTGAGAATGCCAGAGAAGCCCTATGAGTTTCAGCATACTGTTTGCTATAGAAGATAGAAGCAGCTCTTACAGGCTGCTTTCTTGTGTTTTGGAAGTATAACTCTGCTCTTCTCACAGTAACATTAGTGTTGATGTGTCCCTTCCTCTCAGGAATGTACTCAGATTTCACCTAGCTATCTGCCCCACTGGAACTGTTCTTACACCTACCACTGTGTTTCTTTCCTCATACAGTTACCGCACACGAGAAGAAATTCAGGAAGTAAGAAGTAAGAGTGACCCTATAATGCTTCTTAAGGATAGAATGGTGAACAGCAATCTTGCCAGTGTTGAAGAATTAAAGGTACACTCACTCTTAGTGGTTTAAGTCTGGCTTTAAAGGTGGCTCTCTTTCCTCCCTCCCACAAAAAGTTGCCACCTCTGGGTAACCATAGAGTCTTGATTTGTTCAAGCCTGGGAAAGTGATATGACAGGGAATAATTCTGAAATCTCATTGGGCTGTTCTTTATTAAGATTAGGTGGGGTGGGCAGCAAACTAAGTAGTGAAAGTATGCATTATCATAGATCATATTGGCAAAAAGCCTTTTTTTACAACTTTTCCCCGGTAGCACAGTTTGTACAGTCCCTGGATTGTTATCTTCCTGTGGAGATAAATAATTTTAAAAATTTCAAATTAGCAACTGTTGAAGTACCATGAGCACTGGGTTTTAAGTAGAACTCTAGGTGCTACCCAAGCTGCTGTTAATTTAAAAATTTCTTGCACTGTAATCCAATGTTTAGGAAATTGATGTTGAAGTAAGGAAAGAAATTGAGGACGCTGCCCAGTTTGCCACAGCTGATCCAGAACCACCTTTGGAGGAACTAGGCTACCACATCTACAGCAGTGATCCACCCTTTGAAGTGCGTGGTGCCAACCAGTGGATCAAGTTTAAGTCAGTCAGTTAATGGGAGACGTGTGTAATGATGGGCTGTTTGCAGCAACTATAAGGAACAGCKTTGTCAACTTTAATAAATAGCATGTAAATTAAATTGAAGGGAGAGTAAGTGCATGCAGTTTTGTATRTTGTTGTGTTAGAAGATGTTGAGTGCTTGAGTGTTTTGTGATTATTATATYATTGTATTACCTATTTCAGATCTACAAGTCTAATAGAGTTTAATCTTCTCCCAAATAGTTGTTTGGTCACTAGAAGGAAGAACACTTCCTTGTGTACCTGTTTTTGCTATGCCCTGAGAAG